AAAAAAAACATTGAGAAACACTGGCCGAAGGCTAACACCCTCCGCCCTCTCCAGTGCCAAAGCTTCAATGATGGCACCTGATTACAAAGGTAAATGATATATGCTTCAGTGTGTCCCCTCCTAGCTGCCTGCCACCAATCCCACACAATTGTCTTTACCAAAGGCCCCTCTTCTGCAGGTTCTCTAGCATCCCTTTTCCCAGAAGGCATAGTGTCCACCTTCCTGGCCCGTCATCTTATTAGGTAACTCCAGTCCCACATGAAACTGATACATTAAAGCCCACTTGTAATGCCCTCATACTTGGGCATTATTGCATTTGACATTTTAGTTACTTGGTCTAAATTGGGAAGAATTCACAAATATAATCCTGAGTGTGAAGGGCTTATTCAACACATGAAGCACATTCACACGGGCCTCCCTGCTCTTACATCTATCTTGGGACATCGACATTAGCATCCTGATTCATCAGTGAAGAAACCAGGCCTCAGGGGAGTAAAGAGACTTGCCCCCAACCCAAGTCACAAGCATGGTAGAGTTGGGTCCCCTGACTCACAATCCAGTGCTCACCCTCATGGCCCATCTTCCATCCTGTTCACAAGGATGGCGCTGACTGTTTGATGGGAATTTTTAAGTAGGTGAGTGTGAATGAGAAGGGCAGGCAGGGATGCCCACGGAGAAGAAGGCTGAGCTCTGCAGGACTCTGTGATGAGGGCTCTGAAGTTGCCTCCCCAGTCAGGCCAGGAGGTCAGCAGGGCTTACAGAGGCACTTATCCAAGGTGCCTACTGATCCTCACCTTGGGACAGAGGCTGTACAGAAAAGCTAAGTGTGGGCTTTGAGTTCAGACAGACATGAAAGTTAAGGGACAGCTCTGCCACTTACTAGCTACCTGGCAGTTACCAAGCTTCTCTGAACCTCGGTTTTCCCATCTGTAAAGTGGAGGCAATTTCACAGGACTGGGAGAGTTCAGAGAGATAATAATGTGAAGCTCCTGGCACTCTGTCTGGCACATAATAATAAAATGAGAAGTTGCTTGAAGGAGCTGGTCCTGATAATCTAAGAAATTTCTTGAAATATTTATTCTATTTGTTCAGTACCCAATGCCTGAAATTCCCCAAACTCTCAGTGACCTCTGAGAATGTAAGAGAAAACAAAATCTGTGGACTTCTATAGGCTTTTGCTGTTCCTAAAATCCTCACCTCCTCCAAGAAGCTCTCCTGATTGCCCTCACCCTGAGCAGGCTGAACATGGCTCCACTCCCTAGTCCCTATCTCTGGACCCGATTTCCTGCTCCCTGAATATACTGTTTTTGTAGGCCTGCCCATGATGGTTAGACCTCCCTCTCCACCCTTGTTCCAGGTGATCATTAATCAGATCCCACTACATACATGTCTGGGTCCGAGCCCTTCTCCCTTATGGGATGTGCCCCTCAACTCCACAGACAGGACCCAGGTCCCAATCACAGGCTGTGCACAGACCCCAGCAGCAGCTGTGTCCATTCACTTGGCCTGGCCCTGAGGACGTCCCTGTGAGGCCACTCTTGGGGCAGCAAGAAGCAGAGTCTGGGGAGGAAAGGCAGGGGCTGGGTTCTGGGGGATATTACACACTCCAGCTTCACATAGGAAAGGACGACAGATGACACTTGTAAAACACACAGCCCAAGCATCCTGAGCAAATGTGTGTGGCTGTAAAATCCAAAGCAAACAAGAGGGAGGGAGGGAAGCAGGTGCCACAGCCCCAGAGGTGAAATCTGCTTCTCAAATATCAATTCACGAAGTTTTCTTGGAGGGCTTCCTGGAGTCTTCTAACCATTAGCTTCCATATGATGGCATCAAACCCTCCTGGCAGTTTTGTGGGCGGGGGAGGCTTGGGGGGCACTATCCTCCATGTATCTGAGGGCCCCTCCCTCTCTCCAAACCTTCTTCCTCCAACTAAACACTCCTCCAGATCTGCAAAGGGGTTTGGGGAGCACCAGGACAAGCAAGGCACGTGCTATTACTTCCTGTCATCAGACGAGAGAGCAGAGGCTCCAGTGTTAACCAACAAAGATGTGGCAGAGCCAGAATTTGAACCCAGGGCTCTCCGGGGGCGGGTTCCATTACAGGCATACCTTGTTTTATTGGGCTTTACTTTATTGCCCTTCCCATGTAGTGTTTTTCACAAAGTGAAGGCCTGAGGCAACCTTGCATCGACCAAGTATATTGGCGCCATTTTTCCAACAGTATTTGCTCACTTTGTGTCTCTGTGTCACATTTTGGTAATTTTTGCAATTTTTCCAACATTTTCATTATTATTGTATTTGTTACATTGATCTGTGGTCAGCGGTCTTTGACCATTACTACTGACTTTCTGAAGGCTCAGAGGATGGTTAGCATGTTAAGCAATAAAATATTAAGGTATGTACATTTTTTTAGATATGCCATTGCACACTTAATAGACTACCGTATAATGTAAATATAACTTTTATATGCACTGGGAAACCAAAAAATTCATGTGACTCGCTTTACGGCAGTATTTGCTTTATTGCAGTAGCCTGGGACTGAACCTGCAATTTCTTCAAATTATGGTTGTATATGACAGCTCTGACTCTTCAAATAAGCTGGACCCTAGAACTCCAACTGTGCCCGAAGTAAAACTGTGAAACACTCAAATTGCTGTTGCTTTTGCCCAGGACATAATTCCACTTGGCTGTTTCTGGTTGTTTTTTGCTCTACATCTTGGCTCTCAGTCTAGAAACCTCCCCCATCTGAATGGGAAGCCCCCAGATGACAGTACAGTACTCATCTCCACCTTAGGGTAGGGGACGTTCTAAAGGAGAATTGCTCCACCCAACTGGCTGGAAAGACTGGACATGCCTGACACTTGGAGGCCAGAACCCCGCTGGATCCCTCATTTTATTTTATATCTCAGCCGAGACACAAAGGTGATTTCCACTGTAGCCAAACCAGGGCTTGGGTGGCCAAAAGGCTGCCTGATTCTCCTAGTGGCCCCACCTACTTCATCTGCATTTCCCACCCCTTCTACCCTCCACCTCCTCCTCAGTCTCCCCTCCTGGAAGCTCCCTGCCCACACTATCTCAGGCCACATCCCCATCTTCTCAGATTTCTGGGCTGGGAAAGGAACTGGCACCTCAGAGAAGCAAGGAGCCTGAGCCCCAGCGCCCAGGCCAGCCCAGCAGGGGATGGAGCTGGGAGCCAACCTCCCAGAGAGGCACCACCAGATGCTGAAACCAAAATGCCAAGCTAAGCTGTTTGTACTCCCCAGAGTGAGGGCAGGACAATAAGTAATTACATTCCTGGGCAGGAATTAGACCAGAAACTCTAAATTGAGGACAGGGCAGGGGGCCTGAGCTAAAGCATTCATGAGGAGCCAGAGGAGAGAGATAGAACTCCTCACTCCCAGCCAGAGTCAGGAGGGAGAGACGACATTCCAGCGTCAGCAGAAGGGCCCGGGCAGCTGGCGTGGTTTGCGGAGGCTGTCAGCTCTGGGTGCAGGCCCTCACAAGCTTCTGAGTCCTCCCTGCACCACCCTCACCCCCTTCAGCCTCCAAGGAACCCCACAAGCGAGTCCCACAGCTGGCTGGGCTCCGCTGTGCGTGGCTGTATAAAGCTCCTCGCAGAGGGCATTGACCGGCGCAGGACACCACCCTAGACCCGGGTCCTGTGCTCCCAGTCTCCCCACAATCCCCCCGCCTGGGCCTCCCAGCCATGAGTTCCAAGACCGCCCCCGCCCACGTACAACAGCCCAACTAGAATCTCTCAGCCCTGTCCCCGGGAACTCACTGCTCAGAGACTGGCAGTTTCCTGCCCAGCTTTGCTCCTCCCCAGTTGTGGGGGGTCAATTTCCTGAAGCTGCCCCCTCCCCTGTCCCCACGAGGCCAATCAGCCCATTGCAGCCACAGAGGTCCCCTCCCCAACACATGCACACACACACACATGTGCACGCTCCACTGTTGTGGGGCAGAGGGTCAGCATCTACAGCCATGCCTATAACTCCAGCTCAGAGTGTGAGCTCTGACAAGCTCTCTCTCCCTGCAGGTGTCTGTGGACATCTCAGCCCACACTTGGTGTTGGCCTGGCTCAGTCCCTCTGCAGTCTCTGCTCAGGCTCCCTCCTATTTCTCTTTCAGTTTCTGGCTTTCAGGGGCTCTGTCTCTCTCGAACTCACTGCCTATGTCCTTTGTACTGGGATGACTGGAAAGATGGGCAGCACACCACCCCATCGTCGCCTAGGGTCTGTGCAGAGCAAGGCACTGCCAGCCTCCGAGCTGCCCACAGCTCCTACTCCTCCCAGCCCAGGCCAACCTTAGAACCAGGGCAGGGCTGGGTGGGAGGCAGACCTACCAACCAGGCACGGCTAATGCCAGTTTCCATCTTGCTTCATCATGCCATTCTGATGCCCCAAGCTGCACACACATACAATCCCCCTGATCTCCCTGCCTTCTACCTAAAGACGGGATAGGGTCCCTGAGCCTGCCCTACCTGCCTCCCTAAACTGCAATGATGCCTTGCTTCCCTCCGTCAGCACTGAGTCAACCCCTCCACACCCGGCTCTACCCCACCCCACCCAGCCCACAGAGCGCAGGGAGTCCTGGCGTCTGACCCAGCCCCCAGCAATCTCTCTAACCAGGCCTCACAAGTGGGGAGATGCAACAGAGTGGTCTGGTGGCAAAGTTCTCCTGCTGTTTCAACGTTTCCATCTACCTGCGGCATTCGTCTCTCCTTGCTGCTCTCTGGCCTCACACGGACCCGCTCTCCCCGCTTCTCGCCAGAGTTTCACCCCCACTATCGGGTAAGAAAAAAAAGGAAAGAATGAAAAGGAAACCTCGGCGATAAGGATGGGCGAAAAGAGAAGAGGGTACCCGCACGACTGCCCGGGTGAGGGAGTCCTCAAGTGAAAAAAGCAAGGGATGCAAAGTTCCCGGTTCCCCGGGTGCGTTCAGCCCCGCGCCGAGCTCCCGCAGACACCACGATCGCTGAGACGCGGCGGCGGCGACCACTCACCTGGGCGAGGCAGCATCTACCCCCGGCTGGGAGGCACCGAGGCCGGCTCCGCGGGGCGCCCGGGCTCCCTGGCTCGGCCACGCATCCTTCCTCGCCCGAGACCGGCTCGAGCTAAGCCCTCCGGCTCCGGAGAACGCAGGCAGATGGTGGCCTCGAACGTCCACGCGGAGAGCCCTGAGCGGCTTATTCAGTTATATCCACGGCATTTAGCAAGAAGGGAGGAAAAAGCACAACTTGTTCTCTTCCAGATTTCAAAAAACAAAAAATCAAAACCAGATAATCCCTCCCTAGGAGGATGCCGGTAGGATTTTCCAGATTGAAGAACCCCAGGCAACCCCAGGAACCTCGGGCATCTTGGAATGTGGGGCGTCTTCAAGTTCAGACGAGCCAGCCGGGTTGTGTGTGTGTGTGTGTGTGTGTGCGCGCGCGCGTGAGTGTGTGTGTGTGTATGTATGTGTGTGTCTCAGCGAGAGTGAGCCAGGCACTCACACCCACACGCACACACACAAACACACTCCCCCGCACGCCCCGCATGCACACGGCCCCCAACGCTCGCGCAGACGCGCGCCCCCGTCACACACACACACGCACGGCGATCACACGCACGGAGCCGGGCGGGAGCCGGGCCGGCTGCCGCGGCGGAGAGAGAGCCCAGCGACCACGGGAGCCCGGAACCCGGGGCCGTGCGCGCCGTCCCTGCCGAGCTCCCCGGAGAGGCCGCCCCCAGCGGCGGCCGGCGGAGCTGCAGGAGCCAAGAGCCAGCCTCGGACCCGCCACGCGGCGCACCAGCTTCCGCGCGGACCCACACAGCCGCAGGGACTGGAGGACTCGCGGGCCCCGAAGGGACAGTGCGAGGGCAGCCGCTGGCCAGCAGGGCCCGCAGGGAGGGGCTCCGGGAGGCCGGGGAGGGCGGCGGGTGGGCCTCGATCCCCGGGAGCCGGCAGGGTGGGCTGGGCGGCCCAGCGGCGCGGGCAGCCCCTGCGCCAGGCGAGCCGGGCGGCCCGGGCTGCGCGCTGGGGCCGGAGCCAGTGCTGCCGCCTCACGTGCGGAGCGCGCCGTGCAACCTTCAGCCCGCCGCCTGCCGGAGGAAAACCCCGCCGCACCGGCCCTGGGCTGGGGGTGGGGGCTGGGAGGATCGCGCCCACCCAGTCCTGGCCTGGCTCTGGTTTCCACACCCTAGCGAGGGACTCAGGACAAGTGTGCACCCTGTGCATGCACACTCACGTTTACTTTTCCTTATCACCAGAATCCGTGAAGTGTGCAGTGGCAACAACTGTTTGCACAGTATGTTCCCTTGTATGAACCTCCCAGCAACCCTCATTTGACATATGAGGAAACTGAGGCCCAGATGAGTAATGCGACTTGTCCGAGGCTTGTGGCAGGTAGTTGAGTCCTCACTCTAGCAGGACTGCGGGCTTAGCATCAGAAGGTCTGGGTCTGCCCAGGGTCTCATCTAACTTTGGTTATTCTCTCTGCCCACTGGAATCAGCAGCCAGTTCCTGGAAAGGTAGGACTGGGCTCTGGCTTACTGGGCTTCCCAAGAGGTACAGGTACCTTTCTCACTGAAGGAACTGAAATTTTCAGATTCCTGCTTGTACTCCAGCTGCTAAATCCAGGGGCAAGGAGAATGTCTCAGTTCATCTCTTCTGTCCTGGTAGCTAACACATCCCATGCACCTGTCGCAGATACCCACAGGGAGGCACATGTGGCATGTGGTTGTGTCTCAGCAAGCCAGGATTGGCTCAGCTGCATAAATCTGTAATATAAGACACTGCCTCCTGTCTGTCTATGCACGTAAATGGGTGCATATCTGCCAGAGCCCAGGCACCTACCCCCCCAACCCCGCCCCCATGTACTGGGCACCCTTCCCATGTGCACTCAGGGAAACTGCCAGATCAGCGTTCTGCAGACCCTGAAAGACAGGCTCTTCCCTGGAGGGATTCAAGAAAGCCTGAGGGGAAAAGGGCATGGCCAGGATGAAACTCAAGGTACATCAGGGTCGCTGGTGTAAGAAAAGAGAGGCAGAAAAGGATGTGGGGATAGAGGAAAGGAAGAGAAAGGAGGAGAGGAAGATAAAGGAGGAGGTGAGTAGAAGGAGCTGGGGGTAGAAACAGGAGGATGTGGAAGGAGGAGTAGGGGAAGGGATGAAGGAGGGGGAATTAGCAGGGCAAGTGCTTTCTTTCTTGCTTACCCTTGGTTTTGCATTCCATAGGTGGGGGCCCAGCGGGGAGGGGTTAAGAGTGGAAGGGGGAGGTATAGCCCAGGCCCAAATCTCTAAATTCTCTTTAAGGGTCAGGGGCATCAGGGTAGGTTATCTCCTTACCCCAGAGTCATTCATGAAAGGAGCAGAATCTACTGGCAGGGTAGGACCAGGCTGGCACCAGAGCAGAGATGGAGCTACACTCAGAAACCAATAAGATGTTCAAATGGCATGAAGGCCAGGGATGCTGGGGGGTAGCCAAATCCCTGCTCCAAAGTGAACCCAATACCCCATCAAGAAGTTTGCCCAGCTCAGAGAAGGGAATGGATGTCTTGTGAAGAGCCAGGACCTGGATCATTTCTTGCACTTTGGGGAATTCTGAAGACAACTGGTTTATTTTTTATGTTTGCCTCACCTGAACACTTAGCACTGGGCTAGGATTCAGGTGGCCTGGATGTTCACCACGGCTTTGTACGAACGAGTAATGTGACAATTCCTGTCCCCTCAAAGGAGTTGGCCTGTGTATTTTCTAAGGACCTGTCCAGCTCTAGGAACCCCTGAGTGACTTTGGCAGACAGAGAGGGGTGGTGACCCAGATGTTCCTTGGGAGGTCAAGAGAAAACCAGTCTGTAGTCACCATTCATGGTGGAAAATTCCCAGAAGATAATCTGTATTATACGTCAGTAATGGAAAGGTGAAGGATGTTAGATTTCTTGGTTCCTTGAGCAAACCCACAAGGGCTGGGTAGGGGCACTGCCTATGCTAGCAACTGGCTGCTTTTACTGATTGCTGACCAGAGATGGGCCAGGGCTTCTGGGTGGTACTATCATCCTGTGTATGAGAGAGGTGGGGGAGGGGAAAGAGGCAGAGGGAGGCAAGAAAGCTCCTATACCATCCATTTTAATGATGGGCATTGGGATTCTTCTACATTTCACAAGATCACTCTTCTAAATAACCCTGTGATGAACATCTTTGTACCTAAGTCTTTGCCCACTTTCTTGCTTCTTTGCTTGGGCTGGATTCCCGGAAGTAGAATCCCTAGGCAGAAGGGTATGAACATTTTCAAGGCTCTTTGTACATAATTCTTTGTTTCAGTTTTAGAGCCAAGGCACTGAAGTGCAGGGCAGATAAATGATTTCCAAGAGAGCTCCCAGCAGGTGCTTAAAGATGTTTTCACTCACCCTTTCATGTCTCTATGCGGCAGAGAATGACTGTGCCTTGGGCTTCACGCAGCACATCAGGGCTGCACTGCATCCTTGAAGATAACACCAATGCCCCTGTGCGGAGAAGGCCCAAGCTCGCCCGGCCCCCAGTCATGACTCATCTTCCCCTGCTCTCCCGGGCACTTGTGACCAGCCTCACCCTGTTGTCTGCGTCCCTTGGCTTTCTGAACTATAGGTACCAGTCCCCACTGCACACTTATGGGCACCTGACCGGCTCCCAATACCCACTTACTCAATGGGATCACAGTGCCTGATAAGAAGAGTTCTTAGGAGGTTCTGGAGGTGGAGAGGCATTCAGCCTGAGGAAGAGAAGGCCACGTTGGCCTTGGCTTTCATAACCAGTAGAAGGGCCCCTGTGCAAAGGACAATGGGGAGCCTCTCTTCTCTGTATCCACTGAGTTTGGAAAAGAGAGAGAACTGGTGTAAAAAGCAGTGAGGGTTTCAGGCAGATGACAGGACAGAGCCAGGGGCCTGAGGCTATGGAGTCACATAGTGGGGACTATTGAGCTCCCTCCAGAAAAGAGGTGCAGTCTGTAATCCCAGGAATGTGGTAGGTGCTTCTTACAGTCCCCTTTGGCATATCATGGCCTGAACACTGATTTTTTGGGCCAGGGGAATAAAAAAGATGCTGGGGCACAGTCTCATAAGGCCTTGGGATCTCCCTCCACTGAGTCTGTTGCACAGGCTGGAAGCTAGGGGCCACTCCTAAATCCTTAGCCCCATTCTCTCTGCTTCCACAAGGACCAACAGCCAGCCTGAGCCCAGTTTATCCCGCGGCCTTGCAGGACTTGTAGTGTTTCCTCAGGAGCTGAGGCCCCGCCCTGGAGTGCACTTTCTGGAGATACAGGTCCAGTGCCTCTCAATCCTGCAGTGCCCTCTACCCCTCCTTCCTTTCCGAATGCTAGAGTAAGAAGCAGCCAGAATAAATTCCTATTAGTATGCATATGTATTCCCAAATTCCTTAACAGAATGACTAACACCACCTACAGCCATTAGCTGGAGTTTGTTTTCTAAATCCAGTTTACTTTTCATCATCAAGCTCTCTGTTTCTCTCTCCCCCTCCCCCAGGCCCCATGGGCTCCCTTCACAGCCTCACTCTCTTGCCCTAGTACCAGGTCTGGTGTTGGGTTCCTGATGCATCAAAGGGTCAGATGATCCTGAAAGATCATATTCAGCCAACAAGGAAGTCTTTACTGATTATCTTTTGTGCACCCCTTAGCACTCTACTCAATACTGTGGGGGAGAAGACAGGGTGGGAGATGGTAGAGTCTCTTCCTGGAGAGAAAGGACACAAACCAACACTGGCCCAGCGTCTTGCAGTCCATAAAGTGCATTCCCAAATGCTGCCTTGCTTGTGCGCCACAACCATCACGTGCAATAGATCATTATCCCTGTCTAACAAAGACACTAAGTCCTGTACAGGTAACATGGTAGCTCCCAGAGTTGGAGCGAGTGGCATTGGATTTCAGACTCAGTCTTCTGACTCCACATCATCCCAGGCGCCTTCCTGTGTTCAAGGCAGCCTCTCTAATACTAGCCTGGATGCCACTAAGCGGCAAATTACCTGGTGCACCCAAAGGGCAGTCAACATCCAGTGAAGAGAAGGCCAAGGCAAGTAGGGCCAACTAGGTGGATGTTTTGCAGCCCGAGAACCACCTTGGCAAATGCACAGAGTAAGGAGACCCCGTTACGGTCAGGTAGTATGGCAGAAGGAGCACCAGAGGGGAAGATAGAGGATTCTGGATTCTGGTTCTTTAAGTGTGACCTTGGGCAATTCTTCCTTTCTCTGGGCCTCAGCTGCTCCATCTCTGACATGGGAGAGTTGGAGCTAAGTGGTCTCTAGGATCCGGTGAAGAGCAATAAAGCAACCATCCAGAGCAGGACTTGAGACATCAGATGCCACTGACTACCCTGCCTTTTGCCTCCTGCCAGGGAATCCCCAAATCTTAAGGGTGGTATTGAAGCAGAGAACACTGGGGGCTGGAGCCAGTGCCCAGGAGGGTCTGGGAAGGACCACAGCTCTTAGCTCTGCCCAGTCACCTGCCACAGCCCTCACAGTGCTTCACCAGCCCACCCCGCCCATCCCAGTTCCCTCTCTTGCCAACAGACACGTACCAGTAAGAGTGCTAGGCAACATTTAGGGCACACTGTGTGCCAGCCACTCTTCTCTGCCCTGGACAATGGCCATTTTATTTAATTCCCGCAAAACCTATGGGGCAGGTACTATCATTGTCCTCACTTTACAGATGTGGAAACCAAGGCACAGAGAGGCTGAGTAACTTGCTGGGTCAGAGTGTTGGCCAGTGGCAGAGCCAGAATCCTAGCCCTCGGACTCAAACTCCAGAGCTTGTGCTGCAGGTGCCTGGTGGTGAAGGAAACTTGCTTAAGGAGACTCCAGGTAAGGAAAGCCACCACCCCACTCTCCAAAATAGACAAGCAGATTTCCCTCCTTTCTCACACCAGCTCTTAGCGCCTTCCTTCACCTCGCCCTGCCTTCTTTTATGTATTGTTTGGAGCATATAGTCATAAGTATGTGGTTTGTTTTATAATCCAGTCGACTGTGGAAGCACAGCTATCGTCATTTATGTCCCTGCTTTACCATCTTTCACCCAAGAGATTTATCGCAGCAGGAATTGACTGACTACAAAATTCTTTCCATTCCTTAATCAAGCGCCTGGCTTTTCTTTCAAAGGAACTTGGATAGCAGAGCAGAAACCAACCCATTCTTGGTCCTGAGCAGGACAATAATTCACCATCATCTAATAAACTTGCCTTTGTAGGTTTCCTGTGAAACGTACAGAGAAGGATTAAGGGAAAAATCAGCTGTGGCCCCATCTTACACCCTGGTTGAGATGACCAGCTATGTAATCGAATGACTACATTATAAGGGAGTCAGGTATCAGGTAAAAATTAAAATTGGGGGAAAATTCTGTATTTACAGAATAGAGAGATCAGACTTTAAGGAGGCATTAAAATTTGAATGACATTTGAAGGATGAATAGCATTTTGGCGGGTAAAGAGATGAGAGAAATTGACCGTCCAGGTAGGGGGAAAACTGTTGGATTGAAGGCTATAGTAGTGACAATGAAAGGGGGTGGATGTGAGAAATAGAATGGACCAGACCTCAGAGATGCCTAGATGTGAGGTCTGATTGTGATCAATGCCCACTTTATGTCATGAAGACTGCTTGCCTGGAAGAATGGTCAGTGTCCTTGAAGAGACACTGGGAAGATGGGAGAAAATGGGAGGGAAGATGGGAGAAAGTGGGAGGGGAGATGGGGACTTATGAGTTGGATGTCTGGAGTTTGACAGCTTGGGGACACCCTCTTGTTCAGGACATAGTAAGTGAGCTGGGAAGAAATAGTCGGGGGTAGAAAGGAATGGAGGAAATCCTTAGGGGTGA